CTAGCTTCCTCTTCCTCTCCATCTCTAAATCAATCTCTCTCTTAGGAGCCCTCGCTATTATATCCTCTAGTGTCTTGCAGCTGGATCGGCTCACAAACTGTCTGATGTCGCTCCTCAACATCTCATGATATCGGGCCTTTTTCATCTCCTCGTCCGCCACATACTGCGGAACGAGAAGAGCCCTCTCCCTGAACCTGGCGGTGATATCTGTCACCGTCTCAGTCGTCTGCTGGAGATCCTGGAACTCCCTAGCAAGCTGTTTCACCTCGATCATAGGTGAAAATCGGCCATGAACCTGGCCGAAAAGTCACTCCAAGTCATAGCATCAAGAGCTACATCATCACCAATGGCATCTCCGACCTCCTCCCACTAGACACGTGCTCTGTCCTTCAGAAGACAGGAAGCAAGTTGGACCTTGTCCTCCTCGAGACATCGGCTCATACGAAAGGCGTTGGCGACATCAGCCAACCACCTGCTGTTAGCAATGGGGTCCCGAGCCCCATGGTAATCTGGAGCTCCGCAAGCTCAGAACTCCCTGAAAGTCATCGTGCGCGCCCCTAACATGGTTGCCATCTCGGTGCGGAATGCACCTAATCTCTCATCAAGTATCTCCAAAATGACTTCCTTGACCGTACAAAAGATCATAGGATTCTGGTCTAAAATACTGTGCGTGACCTCAGATGAAATGAACTATCTCATCTGCTTATCAAGTTGCCCGGCTCCAGAGCCCGAGCCTGATCCCTCACCGGCTCCCGAAGTGCCAACTGGTCTAGTGCGTAGCGTCACCATTCTGAAAATACACCATAACAAACATTAGAATACTCATCATAACTCGAGGGATCACACACACTACAAGTTCCCTGGATTCATCTCAGCCTTCCTTGATCCGAGTACGAATCCTCTGCTTTCAGTAGTACGAGCCCATACTACCTTCACATCTATCCGTACTTTCCTCAAGAACTTCCTCGACTCCACCAAGTCCCTTCTACTACTACTGCTTCACGTGCTAATCTCATCCTAGGCTTGCCCTAGGGAAATCTCCGACCCACTCTCCGCCATCAGCTGCATAAGAAGTCCCTGCTACCTTTCCCTAACTAGCTCGCAAATACTATTACATATCACTAATACTAGATAATTCTTCGAATGAGAGGTCCTACCCTACAACGGTTAGACTCAAACGAGAGATGCGAAATAGAGTTAAACCTAACCTTCTGAAATTATTTAGTCCTCGTAATATTTAACTTAACATATTTGTTTACTAGTTAGTTAAAATTAGCTAGAACTCCTAAAAGCACAATGCAAGCAGCATTCGAGCATTGAGTATCCATAATCAAGCATATCCTACTCATGCCATTATATTGCTGACTAATCAGTACTAGTATACAGTTCAATAAGCTCATACAACAGACATATAAGGCATCCTTCCTAAATCCTTAGCCCTAAACTAACATGCAGATCTCATACACATATAACAGGCATACAAGGCATCATTCCTAGATCCTTAGCCCTAATCTAGCATGTAGTTATCATAATCATATCATAACATAAACATGTATGGGTAATTTAGGAGTACTTACTTTAGCGGTCATATGTGCCTGATTGACAATGTCCCTGGTCCGTCGGACAATAACAGGAAGAGCCCGATCCGCCAGGCCTCCATGTTGGAGGTTGTAGAAACCTCGCTCCATGCTGAATGGTGGGCGCTGGCCCTGGTTTTGGCTCCACCTCTCGATATCGAGTGCCCAAGGGGGCGTAGGGCCATTGTATCCCATTCGGTACGCCGATACCCTCGCCATGTAAGGTGGGTTGATGACTACGGACTCTGCGTCCGAGTCACCCTGATCTCCCTCCTCGTCCTCGTTGATATCCTCGTCGAGCTCCTCCTCCTCAAACTCTTCCACTATCTCTTCCGGATCCTCTTCGGGATCCTCCTCTATCCAACCCCCATTTACCTGGTTGGGGAAGTACGGGTCTCCAGGGAGATGGAAGCCAACCATAGTGTCTGGACGAGAATGTATAAGTACGAGAAAATAGATAGCATGTTAAAAATACTCCTATAGGATTTTATGTCTTTTAGTTTTGTCCTTAGACCCTTTTTGATTTACAGTTGATGAGTTTTAGATTTGTTGTCCACCTTGACCACTCCTAGACACATGTTGGTCATATCTTGAATAAATATAGTTGATCAGGCTATATTTACCCTAGATATGATTACATAATTGTCTAAGTTTAGTCGCGATGTCCAACTCTTCTTATTGTTTTCTACTATGCATGTAGGTAGGTACACTTTTATAAAATACTTATATTTTAAAGTATACTTTTAGTCAGAGTGTTTTAGTCCTGTTGTATTTATAGTTGTATATCTTGTATGATTAGATATACTAGTTCACTATAAACAATGCTCTGATACCAATCTGTCACACCCCCGAACCAGGACGGCGGAAACGTTCGGGGCGGATGACTTCATTGTATTGTATCATCACAATTGAATATAATTGAAAACATAGCAACCAACATCATACATTAAAGATACCAACATACATTGTTTAAAGAATTGTATTTGGTCACAACATTACACAAAAGTGACAATAAATATGATGTTCCAAAAATGTAGTAAGTGTCCAAAATCCATAGCCCGGGGTACCTGTTCACTGAGTCCCTGAGAATACAAGTCATTTTGAAAAGCGTCAACTAAAAAGTTGGTGAGTTCATAAGCATATTGTATAAAACTTTGTAATATCTTTGATTTGTAATAATTTGTAAAACTCCAGAAAATCCGATATTTCCTGTGAAAATTGGTTTGTGGTCTTTCTCTAAAACTGTGGATAATTGCATGTGTGTTCTTTGTCATCTTTTGTTCGTAATTGAAAAGAGTGTGAGTTCCCAGAAAATCCCATATTTCCTGTTTTATAAAAAGTGTGGTCTTAAAACCCTAAGACTGGAGTGGTAGTAGTAAAATACGAGAGTGATGCATAGTTTTATATTTTTATAAAACCGGGGAAGTGTATAATTTCGTAAATCCAAAATACCCTTGTTAATCCCTATGTGAGTCGTTACAACCATGCTTGATACGACTAAAATGCATGTCATGACGTTCTTCAGGCGTCGGTTTCGGTAAGATATTTGTCACCCTAGACTGGCCTAGTCAAGCTGTAGCGAACAGCTCAGGTGTGGGGCTGTCAACCCCATATAGATCTATACACAAGTACCTCGCTCTCCCTCCAGGATACTCTTGTTATAACTACAGTACTTACGGTGTACGCTAGGTAGGTACGGCGAAGGAGAGTCTCACAAGTGCCTTAACAGGTTTACGCGGAATTTTCTGTCGTAAAACTTTTGGTTTGTATACCGTTTTAGTTCAATTATTTATAACGCTTTTTATAAATAATCATTAATGAATTCGCCTAATAATAATATACGTTGTGTAAATAGTATAATCATTTAAGTATTCAAACTAGTAAAATATGACAACATATTACGACTATTTTACTAATGAAAATAGTCTTTAGAAAACTAACCAAGTTTGTAGTGTGTTTTAACATAACCAAAATTTTATTTGAGGGCTTTGTAAACAAAATATTCTATTTTTGTTGTGACTATAATATGTCACAAATTCCACAAAATCCCATATAAATACATGGGATTTGTTAGGTTCCAATATTTGTACAAGTATTAGTGGTAAAAATATATATAACCAAAAATTAACCATTTTGAGTGTAACTCTCATATTTTCACCATCCTTCAAAATTTTCCAACCAAATATGTTATGACATTTTCTTTGATTTTTAACACACACTAAAAAAACCATTTTTACTTAGTAACTTATTTCTTCTTCAACATAATACCAAAATATGTGAAGTTATTCAAAGATAGCTATGATATTTGTAAAATCTCGAGTTTATGGAGTGTTAACTTGAAGTAATCAACATTTCAACACACATAGTCACATAAACATACAAGTGCATGCAAATATTCAAAGATTTAAACAAGACTTGACTTGTTTTTCCCCCAAAAAGGATGGAAAACTCGAAAATAGTGGGGTATGAAGCTCACCTTGAGTGGTTGATGTGTGTAGTTGAAGTGATGAGATGAAGGTTTTGAGCCTAACACACTTGGAGTGTTTGATGAACTCTTGAGGATTATGATACCCTAAAGTTGTCAACACATAATACTATGTGTAAATGGAAGGAATTTTACAAGATAATGTATAGAATCACTAGACAAATTCGAAATACTTACAAGGATCTAGGGAAAGCTTTGAAGAAATAAGTCTTATTTAAGCTTGAGCTTGAATTCTTTGAGAGCAATTTTTGGAACTTCACAGGAAGTAAAAGTGGGTTTGTGGTATGGAAAAAGGGGTTTCTCGTTCCTAATAAAAGAGAGAAGGTTGACATGATATTTTCTTGGGTTACTGGAGGTTAAAGCCTTGTTATTTGATGGTCAATACGTGGTTTACTGTGATGACCTTGGAAATGGAGGAAATGTCACATCTAAAGGTCAACTACACTTGCTTTTCTCTTACTCTAGACTGTAAACTCATTGAATCCATACAACATGACCGCAAACACAATGCCACATCCAAACATGGTCGTAAACACATGTTTTTGCGGCCCTAAGATGGGTTTCCCTTTTGGTTTTCGGCCAAGATGTGGTCCACCAAGGGTGTTCACGGTCCTAAAGCCTTTTCTATTAGGGTTTGCGGTCAAACATGAGCCATCAATGTAGTTTTCGGCCATGGTGGGGTTTTCATGTTACAATCCCTTGGAAATTGTTAAATGTATGCTTCATTGTTGACTTGTCAATGCTAGTTACAACATGGCTCTTCAAGGCTTATGTATATACTTATTTATATATATGATAGCTTATAAACTCAATGCTCATATGACTTTCAAACGTTTTATTGCAATATGGTTATATCTTACATGGTGGATATACTTGTATACAAGATTCCTTAGACTTGGTTTGACCCCAATTTTTCTAGTTGTGACATCATACCCCTGTTAGAGGAAATTTTGTCCCGAAATTGGTTCTAGAGCAGGCCCTCGAGAACTAGGAAAGAGGTGCGGGTACTTCTGCTTCATCAGATCCTCGCGCTCCCAGGTGTACTCAGGTCCTCGCTTGGCACTCCATCGGACCTTTACAATGGGAATGTGGCTTTTCTTTGTTCGTTTCACCTCTTTATCCATAATTTCAAATGGTTCCTCAACGAAATGGAGATTTTCATTCACCTCAATTTCATCAAGCGGAACAACGAGAGTCTCGTCAGATAGGAATTTCTTCAGATTTGATACATGAAAGACTGGGCGTACATTGCCGAGTTCTGGTGGTAACTGCAGTTTGTAAGCCACCGGACCAATCCTAGCAAGGATTTAGAATGGCTCGATGTATCTTAGATTCAATTTTCCCCGCATTCCAAAGCGTATAATCCCCTTCCATGGAGATACCTTTAGCAGCACGCGATCGCCGACTTGGAATTCTAGGGGCTTCCGTCGTCTATCGGCGTAGGTCTTCTGTCGGTCTCGAGATGCCTAGATTCGTTCCCTGATCTGAGCGATCTTCTCAGTTGTTTCTCGGATAATCTCGGGTCCAGTGAGTGTGTTGTTCGGTACCTGACCTTTTTCTAATTGTGTGTCTCTTACCTCTGCCCAACAGATAGGTGATCAACATTTTCGTCCATAAAGGGCCTCAAAGGGAGCTACCTTGATGCTTGTGTGATAATTGTTGTTGTACGAGAATTCGATTAGGGGCAAATGGGTATCCCATGCCTTGCCTAAGTCTATCACACAGGCTTGGAGCATATCTTCCAAGGTTTGGATGGTCCTCTCACTTGGCCCGTCTGTTTAGGGATGGTAGGCGGTGCTCATATCGAGCCGAGTTCCCAACGACCTCTGTAGCGATTACCAAAACCGGGAGGTAAACCTACTATCTCTGTCCGAGATAATAGATATTGGCATGCCATGTAATCTCACAACTTATTTTATGTAGATCCGGGTTGGCTTCTCCATTTTATACGTTTCCTTAATTGGCAGGAAATAGGCAGATTTAGTCAACCGATCGACAATCACCCAAATGGCATCCAATCTGTCTGTCGTCTTGGGCAATTTGGTTATAAAATCCATTGTAATTCTCTCCCATTTCCACTCAGGTATCTCCGATTATTGAAGGAGTCCCGAGTGCTTTTGATATTCTACCTTCACCTTGGAGCAAGTCAGGCACTTGCCCACGTAGGTAGTAATTTCTGCTTTCATGTTTAGCCGCCAATATTGTTGTTTGAGATCTAGGTACATCTTGTCGGACCCCGGATGGATGGAGTATCGTGTCTTGTGTGCTTCATTCATGATCACGTCTTTGAACCCTCTAAATTTTGGGGTCAAGATCCGGTCCATGAGATAGTAAGCTCCGTTCTATTTGATTGTGAGATTCTTGTCCATCCCACGCAAGGCTTTGTTTGCGATGTTCTCCGGCTTTATGGCTTCCAGTTGAGCCTCCTTGATTTGCGAAGACAAGTGGGAATGGATGGTCATCGTTTGTGTTCTCACCCGACGACCCGAGTATTCCTTTCTGCTTAGGGCATCGGCGACCACATTGGCCTTTCCCGGATGATACTTGATCTCACACTCATAAACATTCAGCAACTTGACCCATCACCGTTGCCTCATGTTTAGCTCCTTTTGGTTCAGGATATGCTCGAGGCTTTTGTGGTCTGTGAAAATGGTGCACTTTGTCCCGTAGAGGTAGTGCCTCCAAATTTTTAGAGCGAAGACCACAGCTCCCAGTTCGAGATCGTGAGTGGTATAGTTTACTTCATGGGTCTTTAGTTGTCTGTATGCATAGTCTATGACCTTCCCGCGCTGCATAAGCACACAGCCTAACCCTTGATTTGATGTGTCGCAATATACCACGAAATCTTATGTTCCCTCTAGAAGAGACAACATCGGAGCACTACAGAGGGCTTGTTTCTGGGTTTGGAAGGCAGCTTCTTGTTTCGTATCCCAGGTGAAGGGTACACCCTTCTGGGTTAGAGTGGTGAGTGGTTTGGCAATCTTGGAGAAATTCTGAATGAACCTCCTGTAATAACCAGCGAGGCCCAAGAATTGTCTGATCTTCGTTGGGGTTCTCGGGGTTTCCTAACCCTCAATTGCCTTGATCTTAGATGGGTCTACGTGTATTCCCTCTTCACTGACCATGTGTCCCAGAAAGTCCACTCTGCGGATCCAGAATTCGCATTTGGAGAATTTCGCGTATAACTTTTATGTCCTTAGAATATCCAAAACCTGCCGTAAATGTTGGTTGTGTTCCTCTTTGCTCCGAGAAAAACCAGTATATCGTCGACAAAGACTATTACGAAGTTGTCAAGGAAGGGTCGACAAACCCGGTTCATTAGGTCCATAAACGCTGCAGGTGCATTCGTTATACCGAAGGGCATTACCACGAATTCATAGTGCCCGTAACGAGTTCGGAAGGCAGTTTTGGGGACATCTTCTTCTCGGACTCGCATTTGATGGTATCTAGACCTCAGATCTATTTTTGAGAAGTAACTGGCTCCTTGTAATTGGTCAAATAGATCGTTGATCCTAGGAAGAGGGCATCGATTTTTGACGGTGAGCTTGTTGAGTTCACGGTAATCGATACACATGCGGAAGGAACCATCTTTCTTTTTGACAAACAAAACTAGAGCTCCCCATGGAGATAAACTCGGTCTTATGAACCCCTTGTCTAGTAACACGCTCAAATGGCTGGAGAGTTCCTGCATTTCTACTGGGGCTAATCTATACGGTGATTTAGCAATTGGCGTGGCTCCGGGTACCAGGTCGATTCGGAATTCGACCTGTAGTTCAGGAGGTATTCCCAGGAGGTCTTCAGGAAATAAATCTGGAAAGTCGCATACCTCCGGGATGTCCTTGATGCTCTTTTATTCCTTCATTTTATCCACCACATGGGATAGGAAGGCATGGTTCTTTTTGTGCAAGCAATTTTGTGCCTTAATGCACAAGATGAGACGGATATTTGCACGGGGTTTATCGCTGTAGATAATTAAGGTTTCGTCGTTAGGTAGGTGAAGGCATACGGCCTTCTCACATCACATAATATTGGCATGGTGGAGACTTAACCAATCCATACCGATGATCACATCAAAGCTTCTAATAGTAACTGGCATTAGGTTGATTTGAAATGAGTGATTATTTAGTGTTAATGTGCACCCTATAAATATGTCGCTGGTTGTTTCAGTTTTCCCATTAGCCATTTCCACCGTGAAGGTTTCGTTTAACTTTTGGGGACTTTAATTTAGTAAGTGTTTAAATTTATGACTCACGAAACTTCGTTCCTCCCCACTATCAAATAAGATGAATGCATGGATGTTGTTGAGGAGGAACTTACCGGTGACTACCGTTGGATCCTCTACAGCCTCCCCTTGTCCCATTACTAGGACTCTGCCTGATCCCCCTGCACCCCGATTGTTGGCCTTGGGGCAGTTTCGTTTGTAATGTCCAGACTCCCTGCAACCGTAACACGCTTGACTGGCCCCAACGTTGTTGGGTTGGATGTTTTGTTGAGGTTGTGCTCTACAATACCGGGCGGTGTACCCTCTCGGTTACAGCTGGTGCATTGCAGGTCTCGGCAGGTGCCATTATGGTGGAAATTACACTTATCACATTTTGGAAGGAACATGCATATGGATTTGCAGGTGTTGGTGCAATTGTTGTTGTTGTAGCAGGAGTGGTAGCAGCGTGAACTGCTACGATTTGTTGTTTCTTCCCAGACTCTTGGGCTTGTTGTCCATTTCTCTTCTTTCCCCAGTTCTTCTTGTTGTCATCCCCCTTATTTGATTCAGTGACAACAGTCTTTGTTTCCTTTGGTTCTCCATGGTCGTAGAGCTTTTGCGCCAGGCGCTTGGCACTGTCGAAGGTTGAGGAGTTAGCAGCAATCATGTTTCCCTGAATTGGGGGAGTTAGTCCCCAGATGAACCGTTCGACTTTCTTGCTCTCGGAAGTAATCATTCCCGGGCATAAGAGCGCCAAGTCGCTGAACCTTGAAATATAAGCTTCGATGTCGGAATCTTTTACAGTAAGGTTCCATAGTTCCTGCTCAAGCTTCTGCACTTCACCTCAGGGGAAATACTCATCGGGCATCAGGTTTTTGAGTCCCCCCATACCATGGCATTTGCTACCGGTAGAGTTAGAGCCTTGACATGGCCGTTCCACCATGAGAGTGCTCTGTCAGCAAAGGTACAAGCTGCGAACTTTACTTTACTTTCTTCCAGGCAGCCGCAGATTTCGAAGATGGATTCGTTCTTCTCGAACCATCGAGTGAGAGCTATCACACCTTCGCTTCCATTAAATGGTCTTGGCTTTGCTTTGGTGAAGTCCTTGTATGTCCAGGTTTTCTGATGTCCGAGGTTATCCCTGTGATTGGAACTCCCCGATCCATTTTCGTTGCCTCCTCCATTGGTATCATTGTTGATGTGTGCTAGTGCTGCAGTAACCGCATCTGAGACTGCCACCTGAAATGCAGCAGAATTCATCTCCGGTGGAGGCAGCGGCGGTGGTGGTGCTGTTGTAGTGTTTTTGCGTATGTACCTTCTGGGCATTTCCTGCTATGATGTAGGAATGACGATGAGTTTATGGAAACTCCTTATTTTTAGCGGTTACGGTGGTTCGATTTTACTTATAATTGAAACTGTATGACATCAAATAAAAATGAAAAGAGAGAACATAGCAGATAACAACATCACAAATAAAAAACATAATCGTTTCATTAATGATAACGTTTTAGTACATAATGCATGGAAATTGACCTTTGAAAGGTCTACAGTACATAGAGAATAAAATTTGACAGCATAACGACCCTGCGAGTAGTGTAATCACTTAAACGTAGGGTCGATCTACATACATAGAGAAAAGAATAGGGGTAGCACCAACGCGTACCCATAACCAAATCTACAGCAATACAATGGGTAGGATGAGCCCTACTCACGACAAGTGGTCCCTGGTGGAGCCTGTGATGAGGTAGATGCACCCTGAAACTCGGCTAGTCGGCGCTCAACGACTCGCACGCCTCCAGTGCAGCCTGCCGCTCCTGATACTCTCTCACGAGGTCCTGAGTATGCCTCTCCGCACGCTCCACTGCGGCTCTCATCATGATCATCTGGTTAGCGGTCATCTGTGCCTGATTGCCAATGTCCCTGGTCCGTCGGACCATAACAAGAAGAGCCCAATCCGCTGGGCCTCCATGTTGGAGGTTGTAGAAACCTCGCTCCATGCTGAATGGTGGGCGCTGGCCCTGGTTGGGGAAGTACGGGTCTCCAGGGAGACGGAATCCAACCATAGTGTCTGCACGAGAATGTATAAGTACGAGAAAATAGATAGCATGTTAAAAATACTCCTATAGTATTTTATGTCTTTTAGTTTTGTCCTTAGACCCTTTTTGATTTGCAGTTGATGAGTTTTAGATTTGTTGTCCACCTTGACCACTCCTAGACACATGTTGGTCATATCTCGAATAAATATAGTTGATCAGGCTATATTTACCCTAGATATGATTACATAACTGTCTAAGGTGTTGTTTGTTTTTTCTGAGGCAAAATGTCTGCATTCTGCGGACCACATCTGTAGACCTCTGCAGTAGAAGAGGTGGACCAAACGTCTGCAGTCTGAAAAAAGAAGACTGTTTGTTTTTTTAACATCTACGAGCTACTAAAATAAACTGAAATATAAATAAACTGATTTTTTTAAACTTCAAAGTGATTTTTTAATATTTTTAATACTTTGTTATAAATAATTAACGAATCTAGATCAACTTTTATGTATTATTATATAAAAAATAAAAATAAAAATGGTATGAGTTAACGTATATATTTGATAAAAACCAACAACTTTGGTTGCAAAGTTATAACTAAACATTATAATTAGTGATCAAAGAATTTGATACATAAATGGATGGAAATAAACTTTGATTTTTTTCAATTAAATCCATTAAAAACGTACCATAAATACTTTCTCGAGAAATTGACGATACTGTATTAAATAATGTTTTACAAAATTTGGCAAAAAAATATAAGAATATACTATGATTTTTTTTTTCATATTTATATAAACAACTTCAACGACTATTATTGTAATAAATCTTTAAAAATATCATGTTTGTATCGTCGAAAGTTTTTTTTTTTTTTTTAAGTTTTGTAATTTTTTTTTTCAAATTGTCTATTATTAATAAAGTTGGAAAAAATATAAATTAAAAAAAACTTAAAAAAAGTAAAGATATATATGTTTTTTTCGGCTAGAAGATGTCTGAAGATGTTAGAAGACTCTGGTTCACATCTGCGCCAAGAAGAGGGCGCGCAGACATTTTTAGGTCTGCAGTCTTCAAAAAAACAAACAGTCTGCGA